GATCCTGCTGTTAGCTAACTTCAAGAGGGATGAAACACAGGCGCCCTGAGATCACAGAGCAAGAGGCTGAATGTAGGATACGGACGAAGAGGATGAGAGAGCGTCGCGTCGACTCTCCGTTACTGTCGCAATCGCTCGCGTCTGCTGCGTGGTAGACACCGACTGAGAATGTCAAATTTGCAGAATATTATCGCAGAATTATTTATTCGTACTTCTGAAATTTAATTCGTACTAGAACACGCGACTTCGCTCGCAATTCCGAAACTGTCCACAGTCTTTAAAAAAAAAGTTAACAAATCCAAAGATTTGTAGACAAAAAAGCACAATGAAACAAATATTTTTATTTTCGGAGACATTGCGAGGCTTTTTTTGTATAAACATTGAGAGAAAAATGTTTGGTATTTGTGATATAATATAATTGGATGGTAAAATAATGATAGTTAGGAGCTTCATTTTTATAATTATTACTGCTATAATATTAATAATAATATAATAAATTTATAGCTCTACAAAAAAAAAATATATTGGCACCAAAAATGATGATAAATTATAGAATACATTAAGGTAATTATAATCATTTTCTTTCTCAATGATGAGATTCACGCTCAACAGTAAAATCTTCAGAGTTAATCGAGGTCAAAGCATATCGTGACATTTCACAGTGCCAAGATTTACTAGGCCAAGACCTCTCTGTTACAGTTTGTCCTTCTGTCACAATTTGTTTGTCCTTACCGCTTATATAATATAACTGTGGTCCACGTAAACGCGGAGACGAGGCAGATAGTACGTTGTTAAACACTCGCGTCTTCGGTTGAGAGGCAGCGAACCGGATTTTTATAACGTTCCTGCTGTTTGCACAGCAGGTGTTTAGTGATGCGAGTCCGACTCGCTATCCCGCTTTCTCGAATTTGTATTCTTTTACGAGAGATCTGGGGATTCCGGGGATCTGGGTGACAATAGAGTCGCAGGTTCCGTGGCTCGAGGTCTCGTGGCACATCCCGACGTTCGAACGCGAACAGGTCCGATAGGCGATCATTTTAATGATAATAATATAGTATTTCTATACCTACAATAGTATCGTGACCGAAGACTCCTCTCTAGACATTTTAGGAAACATCGCGAGGGCGGACTCTTCTAACTCAGCGTGACATGTGAAGAACGAGCGAGGGATAATCAACAGAGATAAAAAATGCGAGGGTGTAATTGCAGGCTGAAAATATTGTGCGACATCGTAACTAATAATTAGGCTATTCAGCATTAAAATCCACTGGATAGTATTTATTTCGGCCCAATCAGAATATAACTTTGATCCAAATTGAAAAAAATGTTTAAATAGCACGCATGCTCAAAATGAGGATATAAGAAATAAGATATAAGAAATGAAGAAATTGTCTTAAAACTTTAAAATCTTTTCACATATGAGGATTGTTTACACTGAGGAAAAACTATATCAATTTAAACAGATATTTAGTTCAATACTGTCAACTAAACGTTTAGCAAATAAATATTTGTTCAATGGAAGAATGTTAAATTAAATTAATAGTTCTTGCAACAAATAAATATATCTTTATGTTTAATAAATATTTAGTTGGCAGTGTTCAAATAAATATTTATTAAAATTGACTATAATATCTTCGTCAGTGTCAAGCATTGTCAAAATTTGGGTGAAGGTACAACACCCGATTTTACGGTAATATTTGTGCATTAATGTGAAACTTACGGATTACTATAAAAATAATAGCGGCGGTGCTCTCAGATACTCGCGACTGGGTACGTTATTAATTATCCAATTTTTTCCTCGTGGATGCACGTGACTGCCGGTTCGGTACGTTCCTCGGTGACCGTCGACGGGCTCGGCTCTCGATCGCGTCGATTAATGGGCTCATACGAACGGCTCGTGGAGATGCGGGACCGTCGCGTTGTCGCCTTCGATTTGTTCGGCACCGACGGGACGGGGTGGAACCCCGCAGGTTTGCGCCACGAGAGAGGATCCTCCAAGCACCTCGCGCGAAGAAGGACCTTTGTTCACAGTTGGCATCGCCACCGGAATAATTCGACTGCCATTTTTCTCGCTTTATGCCGGGTAAGCGTTACTAATGGCTCGTTCTCGAAGCGGCGCGAGGCGACACGAGAGAACTTGGCGCACATAGGTAAATTTACACGGTTTTACGCGCTTGCTTCGAAGTTAATAAATAAAGGCGCGGACTCTCGGAAATGCACGCTCGTTCGTCTTCGAGCATGCAGATGTTTGCGAGTAATGTTGCGAATGGCTGCGGTCGGCAGAAGAAGCAGCTGTTGTAATATTCTTTAATATGATTCGCTGCGTTCAGTAGGAGAAATAGCTTTGCAACTATTGTAACATTCTTTAATATCACTGGTTTATATATTTAAATCCAATGAGAAATTGAGGACAAGACCAATCGATTAAAGAATTTCATAATTGCATTTTATAGTTGCTTCGCAGTTTTTTCTATTAAGCGCAGCCATTTATAGTTATACACTAAGATTCCTCAGTGAGGAATTAAAGCCAAGAACCAATTATATTAAAAGACTTTGCACAGCTGCTTCTCCTATGTAACTAATGTTTTGGAACGCTGCGAAAACGATCGCGATTCTTAGTGACTTTATGACTTTACGACGTCTTGATAAAATTATGTAATTAATTGCCCCGATGGAACACGATTTATTCGACAGCACAACGATCATCTATCTTCTCCAAGGAAATCGAGTGTTTAACGGGCGAGACATTTCACGGATCACCGATCGCCCAGCAATAAAACACACGGGTGACAGAATCGAAAACCCGTTTGACAGTTTTCCACAACGCCAGAAATTCATATTCATTTTGGGCGTGGACGTGAATACGCGCGCCCGCAACCAAACCAAACGGGATCGTAAATGTATAATGTACTGCGTTGCGTCTGTGTGCATGGTGATGCTAAATGCATGTAGAGAGATAGAAATGGTATAGACCGTGAGTGTGTGGGGGATAGTGGTGATAAAAGCCGCCAGTCTATTCGGGGATGATTTACGATTCGGTCTGCGGCGAGGTGAAAATACAAACAGGTGCTCGAACTTCCTCGAAAACTCATATTTATTTGGATGAAAGAAGAGGATCCATGAAGAAGATCCATTTCGTATCCTTGATTAACATAAAATTGTATTAAACGTTCTTCCATTCTGTCTCGTTTGATGAGCGGAGAGGATAAAAAGTTGATGAAAATGTTTAATTTTGCACTGACAATGAGGAAAAAAGTGTTTGATAAGTATTTAATATGTGTGACTATATAATTGCATAGTAAATTAATTAGGATAATAAGACTATATAATTCATATTTCAATGCCAACTATCCTGTATTTTATTTGATATATAGAATTATAAATTATTATTATTACTAAATTATAGAAGTAATAATTATAAACATGGAGATTCTAATAATTACTTTACTATGCAATTTAGTCATAAATATTTCTCTCTCTCTCTCTCTTTCTTAATGAGATTTTAGAGCACTTAAAAAAGAATTGTTTCTGAAGTATCTAAAAATTTAGCTAGATAAGATTTAAAAACAATTTTGGGGGGGGTCTATTAAAATGCCTAATTAGGTTGTGTTTCGATATACATTGCCAGTACTGAAATGTACAATATACGCAACTGTAGATTTTCAGTACTGACAATACTTAAGCTGGCAAAATTTATTTATCAGTATTGTCTATCATCCTTGAATTTTCTACATAATTATGATTTTGATGGTTGACGGATTCCACGAAAAATTATTTTTAAATCTGCATCTACCTAAATTTACAAATATTTCAGCAAAACCGTTCTTCTCTTTTGTGCAACACACAGCGTACGTATACGTGAAGAATATTTCGCGATTGTCTTTCAGCAAACGCAAGAGCGTAGGAGCGCACGCATACTTCTATTATACGTCGGAGTTCGGAGTGCGGTGCTATATCGGATGTGCCCCTGTGACTCGTAAACGAAGTTTGCGCCAAGACTCGGGTTGGAGTTTGCGAATCACCGCTGAAATTCCATTCGGCAGTTTGGCTGCCGACAATAAGGTACCCCAGCTCGCGCGCGACGCGACCCACCGTCTATCACCGCGCCGTCGAGTTGTGCGAGAGCGTGCCCGTACACCCCAGTCTACCTACACGCGTCCCCCACCGGCGCGTAGTTTCGTTCTCATTGAACGCGTACCCCGCTCTACGCCGAGAGAACCATGGGCGGGTACCGTAGGCGGAGCTTATCCAACAGCGTTCACCCTAACGTCCTAGCTGGAGTTCCCGATCCTCTCCGTGCTCTCTGCCACCTATTATCACCACCTATCTGTCTCGCAAGCTTGCAACCCCCCTCGTGCCTGATATGTACGTAACGCGAGTTGCGTGTGTTGCACTGGTATACGATAGTTCCGATAATCTCTCTCTCTCTCTCTCTCTCTCTCTCTCTTTCTCTGTACATACACTCGTGCAATATTTTATATTTGCTTCTAACTTTATTTTAGATTTTACATGAGAATAAGCTTTACTTACGCATGTATTTTTGTATCTAGTGCTTAAAAAAAAAGGAGACTTGTCCCTTAATAAACGACGCATTCTCTCCCTCTCTCTCTTTCTCTTTCGCATCTTGACGCCGTTTTTTTTGGTATCTTTCATGCCAGGTGTCACTCGTCGCAATTACGTCGATCTGGAATTCCGATTACAGCTCGTAATGGATCCCAGTAGTGCAATATTTCTCATCCGAAACGCATTCTTATGGCAGACAGCTCGGCTGTCAAGACACGCGAGTGTTGGGCATATGTGTGTGAGTGTGCGAGTGTTGGACCACATCCCCACTGCACTTCCATCGCCCATCCCTACGGCCCATCGAACGAGGCGTAGTAGGGGCAGAACCGAGTATGTCAGTCTTCTCTTAGCACCGATCGGGCTAGGGTGTCGTTCGATTCTTTTGCCAAAGCTCGCGGTTTCTCGCATCTGCGTAAACGAATGACGGATGATCGGGCCGAGCGAGCCGAGTTGCGGCCCAAATCTATGGGATAGATTGGTGGAGAACTTGGTTCGCAGACTTTATAATATATGCGAAAGAAGGGGTGAGAAGAGACGCGATAGTAATACGTGAGTAGGTATTACACTACGACAGTCGAAATGAAGAAAAGAAGAAGCGCGTAATCGCGTTTGGATTAATCGCGGCGGTGCAATTATGAAGGTAGGTTCTTTCGCTTTTGAACAGATTGATGTGTGAGTGACGAGTCTATACATGTGTGAAATAAATGCGTCGAATTTCTTATCACTTTTCAAGATTTTTGAAAAATAAATGATTTGTAAAAAAAATTTGCTGTGTTCAATAGAAAAATGAACAGTTTTAATAAGTGCTTTGTGTAGATTTGTCTACAAATCTAAATTGAAATAGAATTATTTTTGTAGTCTAAAAGTATAACCCAATTAACGCAGAGTGTTTAAAGCCGTTTTTTTCTGCTAAACGTAGCTATTACATGAAAACAACATTAATTTGAGTCTAAAAGGAATTTGTTTTATTCGTTCACGGAAAGTATGATTTCACTGAAGTATTTGAAAATTTAGCTAGATATAAATTTGTGAAAATAATTTAATTGGGCCACCAAAATAATTATGTAGAACGCTTGAATATGTGCAATGGTGTTTTGGTTGTAATCGGGATAATGTATCGTGACAGTAAAGTTGAGCCAAATACTTATGAATATTTAATCGTATCCTTTAAATTATAACTATTAGCTTGTAGGTCTATTTTTTACTGCTGCACTCTCTGAATTGGTGCAATAAGTTGAAATAAAATAAATATACGTTTGTTTTACTTCAGCTTATTGCACCGTGTGCACCAGTTCAGAGAGTGCAATAAAAATCAGATCGTTCGTGTTCGCTCAATCGATAGCGTATCATATTTCTCTATAGATCTTTCCAAATCTTTTCTCTCTTGACTCTAACTATTTTCCATAAATCAATTATTTTCATATTAGTTGATCTGACCGTTATATGTACTGTAATATTTGTATCGTCTTGTACTGAATGTATGTATTTGTGAGTGCATATGTTTCTCGAAATAATTTCAAACTAATATGCTTGATACAAATGTCGTTACGATAACCGCACTATAGAAAGTTTTGACATTCTAGCAATTGATTTGAGCGTCCTAATATATAATTATTTTGTTAGTTTAACAAAATTACTTTCAGATCTGTGCCTAGCTAAGTTTCTAGACTTGAATGCATAATGTCAAAATTGTGAAACTATGGGAACGACGTCCGGTAGCTCACTGATATATCCGGTAGTCCGGCAGTCTCGAAGTCTGCGAGTCTGGGCCCAACTTCGTCTTCTCCACATTTCTCATTTTGTCAGTTCATCCAGCAACCACCGCCCAGGCTTGTTGACGAATAAAAAATGAGGCTATTATTCTTTCTCGCCCGTTCGCTGATTGGAAAAAACGTTCCAAAACGAGCAACGGATACGAAAATAGAAACTCGTCAAGTTAGATTTGCGTGAGAGAATATTTGACAGCTATTTTAATCTTTTCTTTAGCGGACGGAGAGAAAGGGAAAATTCGAACACATGTGGCGCGAATTACGTATTTGCATTCGTGAACATTGATAATTTATGAAGACGAATTTCGGAATCGATTCATCAAATTTAATTGCGTGTATATATTATTTTAATTTTAGTACATTAAGAAACATAATTCTCCCACTGCTTTAAAAGAAAACAGTATTATTGTTCTGTTTGCGAATCGCGATAGCCAAACAAATGGCTTTTAAGAAACTGCATGGAAAGAACGATAAAGTTATGCTAAAATATCCAAAAATTTTGCTAAATGCAAATAGACGTGTAAATAAATTTATTAAACCAAATAAAAATCAAAATAATAAAATTAGTTGCTAGAATGTAAAAATTTTTCGCCATTGTGTCATTGCCATCTAAAAAGAATTTTATTGGATCATTAAAATAATAGTGTATAATATGATGCTTAAATTGATTGCTAGAATGTCCAAACTTATTTTTGCAATGTAGGAATTCTCACGACACGTATCAAGCGTATACAGGACATCTTGTACAGATCGTAATGACGCTTAAGGGTAGATTTTTGTAATTATTTTGAGTTAAAAATTCTAATACCAAAATGTCAAAGCTATAACAGTTTTTGAATTATAAGCATTTAATGTTATCGAATCATATAGTCGCCTAAAGTTTGCGCGTCCGGGTGTGACTGGCATTTTGCGTTGTATCACGTTAATTACAGTGACTACACATCTAAACGCATGAACTTTAGGCAATATGATTCGCTAATTAAATAAATATAATTAGGATTTTCGTTTCAAAATAATCTCACAAATTTATTCTTAAATTACGGTTTTAAGAGACACTCTGTATATTGAAATAGTTTGAAATTATTTTGAGAGACATATACACTTACGTGTACGCACTCACAAATGATATTGTACATATTTTAGCAGGAAATGGAAGTATAAACTCGTTACAAAGTTACTTTTTTGGTAACTGCGTTACTTCACTGGTAACTGCGTTACTTTTTTTGGTAACTGTAACGGTAACGTAGTTACATTTTTTTGGTAACGGTAACGAATTTTACAATTACTTTTATTGTTACTTTGCATACGATTAGACACAAGCCACTTGAGACTAGAAAGTCCCTAGGCACTCGTTCGTTGCGATTGGTGGTCGTCGGTTTAAAAAATGTAATGGAAAAGTAACGAAAAGTTACTTTCTCAAGTAACGGTAACTGTAACGAGTTACTTTTAAAAATTGATAACTATAATAACGGTGACTTTTTCTACTCGGTAACGAATAACTGTAACTTGTTACTTTTAAAGAGTAACTTTCGATTCCCTGCATTTTAGTATTGTCATCAATGCTTAAGCGTTCTACATATGTTAGTTATTTTGATGATCGAACAAAGTTATTTTCAAACACTTCAGCAAAGCCATTCTTTCCGTGCAGGCTAGATTCCAAACCGCTGTAAATTTACCTGTTTGAACACAGGGATGAGGTTCGGTCGCTCATAAATTCGAGCAGGTACACTAAAGTTCTATGGTTAAACCTATTCAAGAGAAGTCTAGCTAGTATATTCCCAGTGGACATTCTTATTTAATGGCAAGTGGCGCCATGTCGTTGCTCCTTCATCAACACCCTGGAAAATTGCATGTAATATGCGCTATTCCCTTTCCTCATCTTAAGTCACCATTTATTTTCGTTAATTTCTACATTGTATACGCTCATTCACGCGTCTAATTCGAACGACTGAAATTAGCATAAATCTTGATCAACGTTAGACGTTTGTTTAGACGCTTTGCCTTCCATATGGACGCTTTGCCTTCCGTTATTCGTATAACTCGTTTCAATAATTTTTCCATTCAGTCACATCTCGCGACTGGAAGCGCTTCCCTTCGAGGACTCTTACACGACACTTAAAACTCATCGTCCGGTGCGACGATACTAATAAATCGAGGTATCGCGCGGCACGCCGGTATGCGATACGCGAAGGTGGTTTCCACACGCGAGAGAAGACAGAGAAAAGCCACGAGGCATAAATCACAAGTGGGAAGTTCAGCTTCGCCTTCGGGCGAGTCATAAATCAATAGCTGTCCGGTTGTGCACATGAAATGATTACACCGGTCCCGCGTGTAGAATTGAGCGTGAGTTCCAACGTAGACAGAGACGAGGGCAGGGGAAGCGGAAGAGGATCCTCGAAATTGGCCATGGCGGCCGCCGCGCCGTCAGTTTCCCTGCAGATGTTTGACGGCCACGACATGTGGGGTTTTCGCGTTTTCTCGACGTTCTTGAGAGAGATTCGCTATTGCTCTTTACTCTCCAGGACTGTTCTAAAACTTTACTCTGATTTAATGAGAAAATAATTGTACATTTCACTTATAATCCATTATCTTAGTCCATCTTTATTTTCTTTGTTGAACAAACGTATGTATTTAAGTCAAATATAATAAAATTAATTCAAGTCAAATAAACAATGTTTTTTGAGTGAGTTAATTCGTGGGCTGGTATTCATATTCGGTTCTTATTTCAAAACCCTCTTAAGTAATGTCTCAAGATGTCATAAAGCAATCACAGAACTATATTAGCATCACTCTTGCTACTTTTCCGGTTTCTGACTCCGACTTGTTGAATGAATCACCGGCTCTTTAGCAGATAGAAAAAAATCTCTGATTGATCATTCTGAATTTTAATAATTTTACTTTTCTCTTTTTTTTTTAAAGAAAACAGTATACACGGAACGAATGATTTTGCTGAAGTATCTAAAAATTTACCTAGATATAGGTCTGAAAATAATTTTCTTGGACCTTCAAAATAATTACATAAAAATCTGAGGCATGAATAAGCATTGCTGCAAAGAGTTTTAATATTTAGAATTTTACTCAGCGTCCTACTAATTATGTAAACTACATCAAATCCGCACTCATATTTTTATAGTTCAATAAAGTTATTTTCAGATTTGTATCTAGCTAAATTTTTAAATACTTTGGCAAAACCATCTTTACCATGTAAACATTACAACGGCAAGAATCTTATAGGTCTTATTAGCGGTACACACAAAATGACATGAGTGAATGGTAATTAACTAGAATTTGTATACAATTAAATCACATTATTAGAGAATGGTAATAAACTGGAATTTTCATTTTTGATCTTTCTTTTTTTTTAGAGAAAGCCACTATTGCATACCGAATATTTATGCTACTTTATTCCTTCCATCTATTGGAAACCTCTGACGGAATACTAAAAGATGCATGCATAGCATTAACAATGATTATGTTGAAACAAGAACCGACTATAAATATTGGCATATGAGTTAACTCTCTTATGCCCATTTCCATTAATGTAAATCAACTTTGATCTCGGTTTAATTTACCCTTTGTCTTATTCTAATTTTTAGAATCTGGAAAAAATAAAGAATAAATTGAATCGAGATTAAAGTTAATTTACATTGGATGGAAATGGGCATTCACTCAGAGTAAAGGAACGCAGCCTCGATAGTTCGAAAGAATCACTCGTTCTCTAAGCGTCGGTCGGCGAAGAAATCGCATGAGAGTGGAGAGTTCGCGAATGAGCGTTGGTCGCTCGGGGTAATTAACTCATCGCACGCCTCCCGGGGCGAACAATAACCCTTGTGCGCTGCTCGCGTGCCAATTAATATTATCGGGTATCACATACGATCTGCATACGATCTGCAGCGTGCGCGCGTGCCGTGACGGGGCACGGCAAAAGAAATCCGCGCGCGGATCTGATAGGCGGTATCTCCGCGTTTATCTCCGGCGACGCATCGTACAATGAGCACCGTCGCCGTCGGCCTGGCATCGATAGCGGAAAAAAAAGTATTGCGGACGTGGATGATATTAACGATCATTATTAATCGCGACGTCCTCTAATAGATTGCGAGATAACAAGTCTGTTTTTTTATAGCTAAACTATGTACATGGTGTATGCTTTTTATACTTAGAGCGGAATAGGTGTACGTATATATAATATTTAAAATTTGGCGAAAACGAGAGGGAAAGTTCTAGCCCATTCTTTCAGTGTAACAATAAAAAAAGCAAATTGAATATGTCGATGCGATAAGATTGAATATTTAAACCCTAAGGTCAATTTTGAAAAGTATAGGTGATAAAAATAGAGAATAAAAGATCCCAACTTACTAGAAACTGTGTATTCTGTATATACATACATGCTTTCTGATAGGTTCACTAAGAAGAATTTCTGGTTGAAAATGAATGGAGAAGACTCTGAACATATCAATCCGAATTCTGGTTATCTCATCTTCGAATAAATTCAATCAGAATATTCTGATTTTCAATCAGATTTCCAATTAATGCAACCTGACTTTTTTTTTATGTTGAAATCCGTTACTTTTATTGCTTACATTTTTCAATTGTGTCTCAGATTTAATAATGAAAAATTTTCACTGATAATCTGTACCTCGATTCTGTGACTCTTAACGATAATTCGATATTGTTATGTTGTAGCCATTATATACATATTTGCGTAGATATTATATACATATAGGTTAGGTATAAAAGCAATGATGATATAAGTTAGGTATATTATATAACGATACTGTGAGTTGTCATTAAGGCCCAGTTTCACAATTCATGATCAGAGATAAGAGACAAGTTAAACCTTGGTTAACTCTTGCTTCTTATCTCTTTCCAATTCTAGAATCGGAAAGAAATAATGAATAAGTTAAACCTCGGTTAAGAGTTAACCGTAAGTTGTGAAACTCTGCCTAAAAGTTACAAAATGGCGGCACTGGCGCCAGCTTTGGCATCCGCTTCAAGATCGCACCGACATGAACCCGCGGATAATTAGACTATCGCGCGGGCAATCCCGATGGATTTGCGTATACGCGATTATGCATCGACGAGGCACGAGGGATCATTTATCATTCGGCGCGCCCTTACGGCCCCCGAAGCGGTGAATCGTCCATTATTTCACTTTGCCGAGCATTAATCGGCAGATTCGGAGTCCTAGCCCCGAAATCGGATGTCTCTCCGGGAATTCGACGCTTGTCCCGGCAATCAGCTTTGCATCTTTAAGTCTTTCGTGAATCGATTTTCTCTTCTTTCGCGATTTACATGCGGTAAACCGTAAACTACGTTATCACGTTAATTACAACTTAGGGTTACTTGTTCTTTTATGTGTGTGATACGCATATTTACGTAAAGAATTTTGCTGAGGTATCTAAAAATTCAAGTAGATATAGATGTGAAACAATAATTAAAAAGGAAATAATAAAAGCTCTAAGAATGAATTAAGAAAGGAAGATATAAATGGTGAATAAGAGTCAAACGCAGAATGAAGCGTTTGTATTTGATACTTTAAATATATATATATATTTTCCGTATCAACTTGTACTTCCGTATGAACCAGTTTGCCAGATGCTCATAGAAATGTTCTTTAACAAAAAAAGGTCATCTGGTAATAGGCGCCAAAATGACGTTTGCACAAGGGCGCTTTGTGGGACAGAAGTTGGTTGCAAATGTTTCGATTATAGTTTTGGTCTCCTTCAGTGTTGTAAAATTTAAATAATAAATATTAAATTAAAAGCACACGGTGCATCAGAATAAAACATGGATTGTAAGAGTAAGATCTATAAAGTATTTGCGAATATAGATATGAGATCTGAAAGTAATTATATTGAATATTGTAATTATAATGGCCCATCAAAAATAATTATGTACTTTCTAAAACTTTTTAGACTGAATGTCATTCTGAAGAATGAAATCTCACTTTTAAAGATTGAAAATTGAACCACTTATTAGAAGTGAGATTCAACTCCAAAGAATTTAGAAAGTAGGGGAACTCAAACAAGATGCAATGCTGTAAAAAGTTTTGATATTTTAGTAACCAGTGTTTGAGCGTCTTACATGATTATTTCGATAGTTCAACAAAATTATTTTTAAATCTGTATCTAACTAGATTTTTAGATACTTCTGCAAAACCGTATTGGAAAAGTAACATATTACGCTTACAATTTCTTCAAAGTATTATTATACGAATATCTTCACGTGTTAACACGATTTCGCATTCTTGCAGACTGAAATGGAGACGGAGTCCGAATGTGCGGACGGCGTTCTGTGCCCGAAGGCCAACAACAATAACAACAACAACAACAACAACAATAACAACACGAATAACAACAACAATATCGCCGTCGCGAAAAAGAGCGGTAGCGATAACGGATACGACGCTATGGAGATGGATTGCGGCGGCTGTGGGGAGAGCGTACGAGAGCGCACCGTCCTGTGCGTAGGGGGTCGTACCTGGCACTCGAGATGCCTAAAGTGTTGCGCCTGTGCACGACCCCTGCACGATCAGCACTCGTGCTTCCTGCGCGGCATGCGACTCTACTGCAGGCACGATTACGCCTTGTAAGTGTAAACATATTTGCATGCCGAGTTTACCCTCATCTCTCTCTCTGACGCCTCTCGCCGGCCGGAGAGTCGCATTTACGGCAAGCGATTCGATTAGAATCACGGTTGCCATCTCTTTAGGTCTCGGAGTTTGAACGAATCTCTCATGATTTGCCGGTATATAGAAAAAAAATCTTCAGTTGGCTGCTCTAAATTTTTATATTCTTTTTTCGATTTTCTTTCGGTTTGAAAAGAAATCTGCGACAGCACGGTGGTTATCTTCGGTTAGGTCTGATTTGATAATCTTCTTTTTCTTTAGTTTAGAGCTTACTACACAGAATACTACAAGAAAGTGACAGTAACGATTGGTGATAATTAATTAAAGTCTAGAGTAGATGTACAATGAGCAGATGTACAGCGAAGTAACGTCTATTTACTAATTATATAATATACATATTTAAGTAAATTATTAATGCAGAATTTTGTATGGGAATATAAACTTTTAAGACGTTTAGCAATAAGAATTAATGCTGGCAAATCCACTAATATATAACGTCAATATTTTATCAAGTAAAAATAAAAATAAAATTAAGTAAAGGGCACATAAGAGTCAACAACAGTGAAACATTAATAAAAACACATCAATATAATAATATTTATTCTCAATATCATTATTCTAATAAGCTTGATGGTGTAACAATATAAAATGTCTCATTACATGTTTCGGCTTCTTTATCGAGCCATCTTCAGATGTATTATAGTCGCATTCGTAAATCGCAGTATAGTGAAACGACAATACTAAGTAAAAATAAAAATAAAGATAAGTTATGATAATGATCTCCGATGAATTGTAAGTTGACGGACAGAAATTGTTCCCAATCAGTTGATCGACCGAATATTAAAATTATATTATAAAATTTCCGAATATTAAAATTTCCATGAGTCTATGAATAATGTGAAAAATGTTTTTGAGAACAATCCAGACAATTTATACAAACGTCAATAAAAATGTTAAAAACATGTATCACGTGGTGGTCAATAATGTTCTTAAAAAGAGTCAATTGTATAATTTAAACGAGATGGTTGGACTAAACACATGTAAACGTTGCAAGAGAACAGCGACGACTAAACGAAGGCTCGCAAAATTAACGCAAAACTGGTGATGCAAAGTCATATACTGTTTATTATTGGCAAATACGACTTATGAAGATCTACAGTATCCGTCTATAGATTTAAACTATTTTCCTGTTTTTTAACATTTTTAATATCATTTCCGAAATTATACGTTTACTATAGCACGGTTCTTCATCCATAATTAAAATGTTCTCTCAATCAAAATCATGTTCGAATTGTAATCTATGTTCGGTTATTATCGAAAGATTGGAAGTTTATGTGGTGTTCTGTAAGTCTCGTCTTAAGTTATTTTCTTGTTTGACCAACGTAAGACGCATTGCAATCACTAGTAAAAATAGTCTGGCACAACTTTCTGATATCGTACGTTTTATAATAATGCAGATAAATAAAATTTACGAATCTTTAGCATGACACACACACACACACACATACACACACAATTGCAAGCTATTTATAAATTTGTTATATTTATCTTCAATGGAGATCCTTATATTTATCTGCGATGATGAGTTCACCGATGACCGCCGGAAAAAGGGAAAATCGTTGAATTGTTATCCATAATATCGCTATCAATTGTTCGTGCATGCATTTTTAATCAACTTTTATACTGATTAACTTATGCCTGTATTCATAGTCGATTCTTATTTAGCATCATCTTAAGTACAATCTTAAGATGTCATGAACCAATCAGAAAGCTACAAACGGTTTTAACATAAGAACTAAGATTTATATAGTTAGTTCTTGTAATTTAAAACTATCTTATATATAATCTTAAGACGTTATGTAGGTAACCAATCAGAGAATATTATTCATAGTCTGTTCTTATTTTAAAATTGTCTTAAATAATGTCTTAAGATGCTAATATAGCCTTCAGATTGATTCTTGACAGCTTAAGACTGTACTTAAGATCTTAAACATAAGAATCGACCTATGAATATCGGCCAGGGAGCATATTAGTATCTTAAGATTATTTTACTAATAAGATAGTCCTGAAATAAAAGTCATGACTATGAACATTTTAATCTCGAACGTATGATTATCTTTCAACAATCGATTTCCGGCAGGAGGACCGTTGAGCTTTAATAGAACAAGTCACAAAGAGTGGCAATCGTGATTAGAATCTGCGCCCGGAAATCTATCCTAGATTCTGGACGCAGACATCGCCTGATATCTCATTCGATGTACTGTTCGTTCGATCCGCGGGGAGTGAAGGGAGGAAGAGGGTCAACCTGTCCTCCGTGCACGGATCCGCATTCTGCGTATTGCTATCGCGTGACGAAGGAGAGGAAAGATGGAAAGGATGGGGAGAAGGAAAAAATTATTGGATGTTATCGGTGAACCTACTAGTAACATCCCGCTTCGTCGAGGGCAACTTACCCGGACTCGCCCCGATGACGCGATTCGAGATCGAGTCGGATCAAAGCCTGGCTTAAGAGGACGCGACTCGGTTACCGTAATCGCACGACTCTCCTCCCTGTCATCGCCGCTCGCCAAGGGAGAGAATTATCACACAAAAAGCTCGAACCCGTTTATTCTCTTCGACGAAAATTCGGCGGTCGAGTATTATCGAAATATTCAGTTTCACGCCGTTGATCCTTTAACCCACTGCATAGTCATTTAATTATGTTTTTATGGTATAAACGATTGTTAGATTTATATGTATTTTTGACACCCTAGTTAAAGGCTAATCTATACAATAAGCTTTGCTTCCTGTTTCTTGTTCCTTATAATATTTTTCTCTTGTCTTTTTGCTTTCTATTTTTATAGGCGTATTCAGGATTCCAACCGGGGAAAGGGGCACGAATTTATTTTCACACAGAACTTATTAAAATACTTATATTAAAACTAATCTTTTCAGCGTGGAGATAAATTTTATAATTTTCAGGAGATCAAGTTCGAATCCTGGCTGGGGGGATATATAATAAATATTTTTTACAATAAATTATTTATAGTTTTTAAGATGCTTGTTAGTATCGAACTATTAACAGCTTTCTAAGATGTTTATTTGCAGCAATAATATTAAATTACTTGTCAATTTAATTTGTAATATTATTACTCCAGCTAGTTTAGAATGGTTTAGGAACTGACAAATAATCGGCGCACAGTTAGCTTTTGAACTTGAAATTGTATAAATTTACAAGAAATACTTAGGCAAAAGAATTAAGAAATATTAATTATTAGGCTGAAGAATCTAGTTCGCCTTGATCGAATATGGCATTTTTCACTTACATGTGTTTAATCTAATCGGTCAATCTTCATTTTATTGTTTTATAATCTTTGTTACAAAAATTTTCAAAATTTAATTGTTTCTTATTGCCAAAATTTAAGAGAAGTTGCAAACGTTTCCTCTTGCCTTCCTTGCGTACGTTTATGATCTCGTTTTTTCGTTTTGTCGCTAGACCTGAAAGTTGATGAACTTCAAAAGAGATAAGAAACATATGACAAGAAATACAACTGTCGATAATCGATAAAGAGATAAAAAGCAAGAAACAAGAAGCAAAGAGTACATCGTAGATCAACTTTGGAAGTCACTATTATTAATTACATATTATTAATTGTTCTACACACACAATTTATTAGTACCTAAAGTCATTATCTATATAGACATACTTGATATTTTCCAAAGAAAAGTAAGAAGAAATAAAACAAATACGTATAAAAATTCTTGATTTGAGGATTGATTATGTAACATGTTCCTTAGGGCAGAAACGTGACGAGTGAAAAATTTTTTCATAATCTCAATAGCAAAAATTCTCACTTTTCATGTTTCCACCCTAAGGAAAAAGTTACATAATCGTATTCAGTAAAGAAAACTGCTAAAGACACTGAAGGTTCATTTTCTTGCTGCTAGAGTGTAAAAATCACATCATAGGTGACCAAGGTGACTATTCCCGAGTTCGAAGAATTCTTTGTTCTTCGCGCGGAAACAAGCACACGGGCATGGACCGTCGATCCGGTCGATCGCGCGTACCGTATCCCCGAGTCACGTGGCCCTGTCCGCGCGTGTAGGCTATACGGATGTGGTATTTCTACATCGATAGACATCCATAAGCGCGCGTATTGGGTGTCCGAGATGTGCGCTCGCGAGAGAGTCGCCATTGGGTGATTAATGTCTTCCAATGTAGTCTGCCTCTCCTCGTCTTCTTCTTCTTCTTCCTCTTCCCTCTCTGCCCGCGCGGACCGCACGTACAGTCGGCTATTCACGTCACCGTGCATTCGTGTATCACGCATGCTCACGCACAGCACGAGCTGCGGAGTCACGTTGACGTCTCGACGTCTCACTGTCTCGCGCGCGCACGCGGCGAACGCGGAAAAAAATAAATACTTTTATCCTGAGAATCCTGAGATATTCTTTCGCGAGATCCTCTCGCTTCGGCTTTTACGCCTACTCCCTAGAGAGAGAGAGAGAGAGAGAGAAAGAGAGAGAAAGAGCCTTCGCGTCATTTTTGCCCTCCCCTAAGACGCCGCGTAATCCGTTTATATACCTTAGACGTATCTTTCGTTACGCGATACTCACGAAGCATTTCTCAAGTTCTGTCCGGGTGATGCCCGAGAGAACGAGAGAGGTAAAAGAGAGAGAGAGAGAGAGAGAGAGAGAGAGAGAGGGCTCGAAAGGCCCGACGATACGAAAAAATAACACGCTAGGATGTGTACGATATAGCTGGCGGGGAAGGAATTGCCCGGCTATCATTAATTTATCAATGTCCCGAAAGCGGGTTACTTCGCGCTTCGTGATTCCGTATACCAAATATACGCGTACGTGTATGTGGGTGCCGAGTCACTCGAGATGGGACTGCCTAGTGTCAGTGTTCCGGAGGACTGAGGAATTCGCCTCGTAAGGCACCGAAGCCAGCTGCGATCCTCGAACCGTTCCTTCTTCCCGCCTTCATCCGAGTGCGAGCCAGCGCGGTACTTCTTTTCTTCCAGGTGAGCGAGGGAGCGGAGAGAGAGAGAGAGAGAGAGAGAGAGAGAGAGAGAGAGAGAGAGAGAGAGAAAGGGGAAGAGTGAGAGAGAAATAGAGTGGTCTTTGAAATTAATAAATATTCACCCGACCCCCGGGGCCCGTGCGCCCCCTATTCCCCGACGTCCAGGGCCCCCCAATCCTTTCCCCGCTTTCGTCGCTTTCGTACGTTTCGACCGAAAAAAGAAGAGCTCAGACGTCGAAGTGATTCGTGGTCCTGTATGCGGCAAAAATCGCTCTATTAGCGATTTCCCTCGGCGAAGCCCGTGGGATTCCGGTTTTTTCGAATCGGTACGATCAGCGTAGAAACGACTTGTATCGCCCAACACGACGTCAGGACCACCTGTCGTCGTAATCGCGGTGTTATCTTCTTCACCTTGCCGGCACTTAAGGCCGCATACCTCGCGGCTGCCGGGACACTCGAGATATAAGCAAATGATCGCAGTTCTTTGAGTTGACCAAACATCCGTGGGATTGAATAACACAATTACATACTGGAGCAACAACTCCTTTACGCGATCGTCGTTCTTCTTCGGTATCTATCGTTCACCAGAAATATTCGTACAGCACAAAAGTTTGTAGCAACATTGCTGCAAGATTTGCAATGTTATTGCACAATATTGTTGGAACGTTTCAGCGTTGCTGTAATATTACTGGAAGGTCGTAATGTTATTGAAAACGTTACTGGGACGTTGCAATGTTCCTGTATTATTACTGGAGTGATCTATGGAGTGTTATTGCAATATTACTGAAATGATCTGTACTGTATGGGATACATCTATATAAGGATTGCTGCGTAAATTATGATTAGCTGTTCTACGCTACCGAGACGCAATTAACTTGGATCGGCCCGACGCGTACTTCGCAATTCTCAATCCTCAATCGCAATTCGTATGCCGGCGGGGTTCGATCATGCTCTCGCAAGCGTCTCATACCAGCGAGCGCCCAACTTAATCCCCTGTTGACTTATAGGGCCCGCCTATGTGGAAGAACAAATGAATAAATTAGGGCGGGGCCGTTTGGTAGCCGACGCGCGCGTACGGCCCTGAAGATTTATAGATACCCAATACCAGTTCTCTCGTCGCCGCCGGATACACAGGATCCCCTCGTCCGCCCTCTTGCCCTCCTTGGTGCGTTAAGTCTTGGCTTTTCTGGGGTATGAAACCGTAGAAGGATGAACGCGGGGAGAACAGCGAGCGCTACTATTTACCTGAGGCGACACTCATCGAATGACACATTCATGTTTCTACGATGGAAGATCTTGTCGGGAAATTTTTTCAGTTGCTACGTTCATAAAAAAAAACAGCTTTGCAACTGTTGTAAGATTCTTTAATATAGGCTCTTGCTTTTAGCTCCTCACTGGATTTAAATGTAAGTAAAAGCAGTATACTAATTGCAAAATACAAAATTAGTATAGTAGATTAATTACAGTTGAACATGGCTAAAAGATTCGCCGAAATATATACACATGATAATGTAATGTTGTGAATATATTCAAGTTTTATTTATATTGTAGCGCGAATTCCCAGCAGCCTGTTTTTTTATTCATTCAGGAATTTGATTATCTTATAATTTGATTATCTTATAATTTTTAAATATATAAACTAATTATATGAAAGAATCTTAGAACATTGCAAAGTTGTTTTTTCTGTTGAATGCAGCCAGTGTCATCAAACTCACTTCTTTCAGGAACGCGTAGGAAGGTTCCTTGAGTGAAAGAGAACGTACTAACAATAATAAATAGGCGCTAACTTCGAAATAATCGAGATCAATGTTGTTCAAGATTTGTAATTTTGAGTATTGACTGGATTTGAGTTTGACTTGACACATAGGTGTATCACACCTATTATCTTCTTTTTTTACTTTTATTAAGAAAAAGAAAAGTAACGATGTGTGTGTAAGATCTGTATCTATAGACCATAATGGTGGTTAAATTGATTTAGGATCAATTTTTAATTTTTTAATGACTTTATATTGATTTTTAAGATTTTGAACCAATTTCTGATTGGTTGCATTTGAATTTGCTTACATTTAATTTTGCCAATTTCTGATTAGTTACATTTGATATTGCGCATCCACGGGAATGCTACATTTAATAATTGGTAATCTTATCCATGATAATAGATTTGAATATCAATATATTAAGTCAATGTTTACCTTAGCAAAAATAAAAATTAGAGCAAAATATAACGTAAGGGGAGAGTGACAGAAACATAAATAAAGTTTCTAGATGGCGAAAATAAGAGAACAAAATGTAAAGGAAATATTTTGACGCTTTTACATTTTTACAACTCCCTTCAACTTATTCTACGATTTTCACTTTCTCTAGGTCATAATTATAAATCTTGTTGATATTGATCGGGATCTTGTAGTTACTTCGATAATCCCCTCTAAACTAGAAAATAAATGGTCAAAAAAGGATGGATCATAGAGCGATCGTTGGTGATCGGTACAAACTAGCTCCTAGGCGTGCCCTTTGCGCGATCACCATAACCAATAATATCCCCTCCCCCGAAAACATCGCGTCATGCGACGATGACTATGCAGACGCGAAGACTAATCCTTCCATGAGCTTACCATATTTTTCCATACAATAACGCCATGGTCGATCGGTTGATGCATTCTTCTACTTCTGCTTCGTCTCTATGCTGTTCCTCTTCTCTTTCCTTTTTTCTTTTTCCCTTCCTTTTTCTTTCCTTCTTTCCTATATGTCTGTGCTTCTTATTGATCCTTTTTCTTTTCCTCCACTTCGTTCCTCCTTCTTCCGTTCCTTCTTCTTTTCTTCTTTTGCATATGCTCCCGTATGCATGGCATAACCTCTGCTGAATTTCATGTTTTAGTTTTCTTCGCGCTGTTCTATCGTTGTCCCCAGTGATGATAATAATTTCTTTATCTTTCTTCGATCTCTTTCTCTCGAGTTCTCTTTTTTAGCACTAGATTCTCTTCTCGCATCTCTCGTCGGCATGGATTCAAAGAAATCGCACCATTTGTATAGGGTCGGAAGCCGCACAACTGAGACATCGAAATAATCTCGACGTAATCTACTCCTCGAATCGCGATACTGATCCTTAAACCGAGATGGCTCCGATGCCTCGTCGCATCGCGTCGGCAGGACACCGAGTGGCTGAGTAGTATGTTAATGAGGACAGGACTGCTGCCGGGTCCTCGCGTTCTCGGAGGTCTCGAATGAACCTGCCGTCGACCGGATAAAAATAGTTTTTTCGGTCGGTGTCCGCACGACTGAATTCGATATGCATTGCGAGAGAACCGCGTTTATTGCCGAGTCCATTCGTAGCCGCGCGTCAAAAAAGAGAGACTCGCATGAATCAATGAACGATGAATGACAGTAAAGTGAGGTGATAAATGGGCAGTATACACCAGTACATCGATCGGTCGAGCCGACTCCCTTTGTCATTGATTACGCACGTCGATTAACTTTTCTAACACTCGCGCACGTTCGAAAGTTGATGGCGACTTCGTCACGTGCGGCTTTCACATGGGAGAAATCCCTACCGTTTGCGTTTTTTGCAGAACATTCGGCGCAAAATGCGCGAAATGCGGGCGCAGTGTGGGCGCTGGGGATTGGGTGAGGAGAGCTAAAGACCGAGTCTATCACTTGGCATGTTTCGCTTGTGATGCCTGCTCCCGTCAACTCTCCACGGGTGAGCAATTCGCGCTTCTGGACGCCCGACTGCTCTGCAAGGCCCATTATTTGGACGTGGTCGAGGGTAACAATACTTCGTCATCGGAGGATTGCGATTCCGAGCACGGTGGCAAAGGCAGCAAGACGAAACGCGTGAGGACGACCTTTACCGAGGAGCAGCTTGCAGTCCTGCAAGCTAACTTCCAGATGGACAGCAATCCCGACGGACAGGATCTTGAGAGGATAGCCCAGGTGACCGGCCTCAGCAAGAGGGTCACGCAAGTTTGGTTTCAAAATTCCAGGGCGAGGCAGAAGAAGCACAGCGGCAAGATCAAAACTCAGAGTAAGTAGTGATAAATTAAACAAGATATATGAATACATAATTGAACGTAATAATAGCGAAATAGTGCACACAATTTTTTTTATATGCGCTAAACGCATGTTAGTGCATAAGCTAGCGATCTGTGAAATGATGGAGTACTCTACACATGTGAATTTGATATGTGTTATACTTTCATGACAAACTACATCTAGTCTAAATTTTTAACAAGCAAATTATAAGATGTGGTATTGGTTCAATAAACAATACGCTCTGATTGGCTCTTGACAAAATCTCCTTTCCTCTGGGTAACCAATCAAATGTAGCAAAGGATCACATTTGATGTGAAAACAGATGTGTATACGTTTGATAATGTTTCAAAATCGTTTGAATAGTGTTGTCGTATTTAATTTTTTTTAAGAAAAAGACTAGAATGATAGATTTATAAGAGTATACGAATGAATTTATAAATAAAAATAATATTTGACGAGGCTACGTTCGTAATAAATAAATAATTGAAAAAAAACAAAATACATATGTATACTTGATTTATTTTTATTGACATATTTATTATTTAAATGTATAATATATAAATTTATTATTATTTAAATTTAGCTTTAACCAGATCCCTCCATTCCACACGTGTGAAAAACTTACTTGGCGGCTCTGAGTGTGAATAGAGATTAGTGATAGAATAGAGCTTTGAATTTTAAAAGTGAAATGGAGACAACTTTATTGGCCGCATTCAGAGAAAGCAGCATAACTATTATATAATTTTTTTAATATGATTGGTTTATGTATTTTGATTCAGTAAGAAACTAAGGGTAAGACTTATCATATTAAACAATTTTAACAACAAGAAATTTAACATTAGCAAAGTTGTTTTCATTGCTGAATGCAGCCAATACTATGTTCCGAGCGCGCGCTATTATGAGGTTTTAGTAAAAGAAGAAAGTGCCAAATACGTCGAGGTATTAGTGTCTAATAATAATAATAATAATAATAATAATATTTCTATGTAAATTTTAAACATATCTTTCAGTTACATAAACTGCGCGCCGATTATTGTTGAACTGAAAACGCAATCACAAACTAAAGTAATAAACTGTAATAATAATATTACAAGTTAAATTGATCGTTGATTTGATAATGATGCTACTAGAATCTTAAAGTACTCGTTGTGTTTTTACATAACTCGCATTATGGGTAATATCCCTCGAGGATTCAAAAAGCCTATTTTCGTGTGCTTGCAGTGCATCATTCGCCGCCGATGCACCATCATCCAGTCGACCTGTATCCCAGTGGCATCAACGTGGTCGGCGCTTATCTCGGTGGTTATCAGGCCAGCAATGCCGGTAGCGAGAGTCCAGGTAGCCCGTTAACGCCCCTTACACCTTTGACTCCGCTCACACCGACGACGCCGAATCATTTGCAGGCCCAATTCTGTCATCCCGCGGGATAAGTCAATATAAATTTCCACGAAGCTATTGGTATTAACCCTCCGCACTGCATGTGCTTTCAGCGGCAATGATTTGGAGACATAATTTATTTAGAGATTTATACAAAAAACATACAACAAATATCGTAACAAGATTTTACAAAATCGAAATGTCATATTCATTTTTTTTTATATTCCGCACAAAAAAATTAGATTAAAAGTGTATAACGAGACTAGATTCAATTAACAATTACATATGAGTTCTTAAGGCGAATTAATCTGTATATATTTCTCAAGATGTAAAATAAGCGCGCGTTATCGTTAATATAATATGTAACGTATAAAAGGTACAAGTTTTTCGTATTTAAAATTAGATTAAGCTTATTTATTCTGAGCGTGTAAAACAATTTGCATCCGTCTGCGATGGTGAATAAAATCTCTTAGACGATGCAAAATGGAGGAGGAGTGACTAAAGTGTCTCGTCCATTTTTCGAAGTTTTGACATAGATATCGTTTAACACTTATAATACGAAATTGTATATAGAGCGAATTGTAGTTTTTGTACATATGTCTTCTGTAGGCAGATATAGGAATATTGTTTTGTGTGTGTGTGTGTGTGTGTGTGCGCGCGCGCGCGCGTGCGCGTGTGTGTGAGAG